CATATTGTTCATGAATGTATTGATCAATAATTTATACCATTGATTTAAAGTAAAGAAGGGTAAAGGCAGGATATAATAAAGATAATTAAAATGCAAAACTAGCCACGTCTAGTATACCTAAAATCGATCTAACCTTCACCAAATAAAGTGATGACATGCTAAAACCATTTGTCTGAAATTCAGTCATTATATCATTATATATCCCACCTGATCACTACCAAATGTGTGTGTGTGTGTGTTTTTTTTTTTCCCTCTAGTACTACAAATCCTACATTAAACGATTAAATTGGTTAAGCACTAATTGTGATGTGATTTGTTAGACCCCTTTTGTTTGCTACACTTGGCAGGTTTCTACAAAAGAGAAGGTTTTCAATTATTGAGTTCTTTTTTGTTTTGTTTTACCTAAGGTTATGATAAAAGCCGTTGTGGATTAGTATGCAAGCATCAAAGCATCAATTTCAGTTTGATGGTCTTTAACTGAATAATTCATTTTCAAATTAGTCCTTAATGATACTTACGTATAATAATTATCTTGTGTTGATGTTAAAAATAGAATATTGGAATTTTTTAATGAGAAATTTCTAGTACTTTCACGCACCTAATTAATTTTCAACGTTGAAATGAGATCATCTCTTGACTAAAGTAGTACTGTGATAGAGCCGTGTGACATGGGACATCTAATTCTTGTCCTCCTATGATAGTGATATTAAGGCAATAGACCCTAATTAATCATCCTAAGACAAAGTTTATATTAAATTTATATGTTGGCCTTATTTTTGTTTTCATTCTTTATCATTATTATTCTTGTGATTCAAATATTGGTAGAGAATTTGGCCGTGAACAGACCTTAATTAACAGCTTGAGTTCAATGCGCAGAAAGTGACGCAAAAAAGTGACACATTTTGTTATATGTATGTCTTCCAGTCTGTTTGGTTGACAATCCCTAGCACACCAGCATGTACTGTTGGACCGAAGAGAAAAGCCAATTATAAAGGTGAAAGAGAAGTCATGAATTGGCCCTAAATTACATATAATAGAGCAACAAATAATTAATTGAAGGTAAACATATTATAATCAAAAGTAGTATAATAATATTGGATTAAATGAGACCAAAAAAGTTTCAAGATTCTTCTGTGAAAGTTCTATATTCAAAAAAGTTTCAAGACCACCAATTTCTTATCTTGATATGCACTTTCTATTAACTTTCTATAATGTACGTATAGATCATTGTAATGAGGGGTATATTTTGTTTAATATCCTTTCACTTTTCTTGATATAAAGAAAGCTAAAAAGATTAGAATCTCCGTTTCTCTCAACCGAAAGAGAAAAAAGAAAAGAACTTGAAAAAGGGAATTATATATATCTTAAAGCTTTGTTCTTTTGGGATGTAAAATAGATAAATAGGCATTCTTTTTGGTTAACAAAAGAACATAATAATATTACCAAAAGGGGCGCAGTTAGCTTAAGAAATACCGTTAGAAGATCGATTAAATGTGGGTGTTTGTCTTGGTGTTTGGACCAGGGATGATGTTGAATTTTGTCATAGATTACCTAATTAACCAAAAGTTCCTGTACCAGAAGTGAAGAGGGGCAAAGGAAAAAACAAAGGCAACCATATATGTTATATACATACATTGATGTATGGGTGTAGTTTTAATAGTTACTTTTAATATTTACTCATTAATAATTAATTAAAAAAATTAATATCAATTAATAAAATTGAATTCTTATAATGTCACGACATTAAATTTTTATATTTTATAATAATTAGAAACGTAACTAGAAAATAAGTCCATATATGTGTATATATATGCATATAATCGTATTATTGGTGGATATATATGTAACTACTACTACACGTCAAAATGAGTGATTATTCACAATTAGAAAACTGATTAGATTAGATGACTTTTTCCACCGACAAAATGAAGCTGCTGAAATTTTCCCACCTAATTTCACCTCTCTCGTAAGATTCTCTCCCTCTCTCTCTGTATATATATTTTTAAAGAGTGAATAATATTGAGATAAACATTGAACTGTAAGGCTGACTGCTTGCCATAATTAATATAAAGGCATATATAAATTGAAAAGTCTACGTAGGCTGACTGCTTGCCATAATTAATTGTTGTTTTTTTCAAAAAAAAAAAAAAATTGTGTGCCTTAAACTAATTGATACAACTTTAACATTACAGTTTGAAATTTTAGACTTATTTCCATTCTTTTATTCAAGCCAATAAAAGCCTCATCATTTACTGATTTGAGTTTAAAATTTAAATTTTGTTATAATAAAAATTCTCATAAATAATCACATCTAATTTTTTTATTACAGTAAAAAATTCTCACATAAAATTACATCTCAATTCAAATTAAAAACTCGAATCAGTGAACTAAACGAGCCTAAAATGTGAATTTTATAGTGGGCAAGGCTACACGTCAAAGTTACTCAACCTCTTTTGTTTTTTCCAGCTGATTTTCTTTTTTTTTTTGGTGCTTTTTTTTTCTTCCTCTTGTTTTAATAAAAACTCTCATAAATAATCACATTCAATTTTTTTATTGTAGTAAAATTTTTTTACATAAAGTTACATCTAAACTCAAATTAAAAATCAAATCAGTGAACTAAACGAGCCCAAAATGTGAGTTTTATGGTGGGCTTTGGGTTACACGTCAAAGTCACTCAACCTCTTTTGTTTTTTCCAGCTATGATTTTCTTTTTTTCTTTTTTTGGTGCTTTTTTTTTTCTTCCTCTTGCTGAAATAAAAGGGTTTGAAGAGATAATGCTATGCGAGTCGTCCTTTCAAAATTGGGAAATAATAAAGTCACAATATTTGACGCTTCAAAATTTCTTGCTATCTTTGCACCTGTTACGATCTCCATGATTGTATATATTCTCAAGAAATTTTAAAAGAACATGGTTAGGTGTAGAATTTAGTTTGTATCTTGACAATACTAGCAGCTAGATCCACATGGCCATGCAAAGCTAATAAAGAAATATATGGGGAAAAAACTATCCTATAAAATTGACAAGCTTTAATATTTTGTTTGTCCATTATAATATATATATATATATATATATGTGTCTATATATACATACATATATATATATATAACAAACAATGCTATATACTATCCAAGTCTCTAATTAGGTAAATGCAACCAGAGGTACTGATATTTTAAACCTATGGTTTACAAATATATTATAATTTGGACCATTTGGAATGGTTCAATTATTTATGTTACAACTCACATGGAACTTTCAAGAAATGTACTTCTTTTTAGTTGTAAAAAATGAATACTTCATGCGATCCCATTCCCATTCCCAACTTCTTCGTCTATAGTAAAAATCCAAGGGTCCACCAATAGAAAAAAAAAAAAAAAAAGACTTCTGCACATAATTGAGATTCGTTTAATTTCCATCATATTACAAGTCTAACATTGTACAGCCTATTGACAAAGTAGTGACCTCATAGAATAAATTAATTAGTGTTCAAATATTATAATAGGGGGTATCCAAATATTTCAACCTTTAAAAGAAATTTTTTTTTCCTGATATTGAAAAATATGTACTCTCAAAATTGTAGCGCTCTAATATTGATGACATTAATAAATAATCACTTTAATAAACACGAACTTTAAATAGAATTACGAATATAATTTAAACGTTGGGGCATAAATTATTATGTAGGTCGTTTATTTTTCACGTAAAGAATTTATCAAAAAGAAAAAAGTTTCGTGAGCCAAAAAAAAAAAAAAAAAAGAAGGAAAAAGTTAACAAATTATAACAAGAATTGACATGTAAATATACCAATTAATTGGCTTTTCAATGTTAAGCCAACGTAATATATTTATAAAACACAAATAAAATTGTTGATTTGGGATCGTACGTACATCATTGAGATTCAATTTTGTTCCTCAGAGAACAGACCAAAATCATCTGGGAAAAGGAAAGGAGAATCAGGAAGATCATCACCATAATTCAAGGTTTGATAGGCCATAGCGCTTGACGACTACGTTTGCCCCCTCGAACTGCAAAACATATGTGAACTGTTAATTCTACTTTTTTCTTTTGTTAATGATCAACTACCTAAGTTGCCATCAAATCTGCCAAAGAATATTCTATTTATTGTAATAATATGGTTAGCCAAAGTTATTATAAAAATATAAATTATTTGGTAAAAATAATTAAGCTCATTATGCGCTACACTCTATGTATATGAGTACAGATACTACATACTACCATTGCTCAATCAAATTGAATATGGAAAACAAAGGATACAGAAACATATATATATATATATTTGTGTGTATATATATATATATATATATATAGCTGAAAAAGAAAAAGAAAACACAACACTTATTTATTATTTTTTAATTTTGGTAAACAACAACAATTATTTCTATGTGCTGCCTAATTATATTCAAAATCTGATAGCCTAATTGGGTGTACAAATTTAAAGTGGTGTGGGATCAAGCCCTTATTTCGTTTGTTGGTTGCAACTAGAAAATAAGTAGTAATAGTCATAAGGTCATGTTTTTCATATTCTTATTCATTTCTTAGATTTTTTTTTTTGGGTACAAATTCATTTTTTAAATTTGACATGTATGGTATATCACATGTACAATCATTGCAATTACCCGCTCTAGACAGCTTTTCTACAATATATTATTTTGAAGGATTTTTTATTCAAATTATAGAGCCTATACAATTAAATAATTTTCTTTCCGCTTTCAATTTTTTATAGGGCTTCTCTGCCTTTAATTTATGGATTTTTTTTTTCTTCAAGATATATATCAATTTTCTGATAAGTTACTAAGAACGGGGACCATGTCTAAAAAAACGCACGGTGTACAAGTGTGCATCATTCTATCACATCATCACAAATGAGATATTTAAAAGTGCCTAAAACTTTATTTTCAATCCTTTTATTTATTTTATTACTATTTGTTAAAAAAAAAAAATAAATAAAAAAAAAAAACTCCTTTTGCTCTTTTTCCTCTTTCTTTCTTTCCCTCTCAGTGTAGGTCATCCATTCCCTCACAACCACTCTCCCACTAATTTTTTCCCCCCCCTTTATTCTCTTCATTCCCATTTCCTTTCTGTTTCCTCCAAACACCACCATGGCCAAATCCTCAATCCAACTTCTCATTTCCACCCTCTTTTTGGCCTCCATAGTTTTCATGAATTTCCCTAGGGCAACACTCTCCGATGAACCGTGCCAGTACCCGTGCTATCCGCCGCCGACAAGCACCGGCGCCACGCCCACCACTCCGTCGACACCAACGCCGCCATCGGTTGTCTCGTACCCGCCCCCTACCGGAGTCTACCCTACCCCGCCGAGTACTGGTGTCTATCCGTACTACAACCCTCCACCTAATGATAGATACTACGGTGCTCAGCCACCACCGGATCCTATCCTTCCCTACTTCCCCTTCTACTACAAGGAGCCACTTCATAGATCGCCGGATGATCAGTCGTCTTCCTTCTCATCAAGGCCATCACTTGGAAGATTAGCTCTCTTGATATTATTGTTTATTTTTCTGCTTTATTTTCCATCTTTTTCCTAAGCTTAAATTAGTGATATGTTGTTAATTTAAGCTAGTAGCTTGTGTATTTCGAAATGTTTCAAGGAAATTTTATTAGGATCATGATTCAGTGCATTATATTTTTATAATATTTGTATTGAAATTTTGTTCATGTTGCTTAAGTGTGCGTTGAAAGTAACGGAGATCTAGTTGGCCTTAAAAAAAAAGGGAGAGGAAAGTGCTTTTTCTGAGAAAGATAATATGAATATGGTCCAATAACTACTTGACTTTTTTGTTGTGTAATGTATATATTAAATGCTATTTGCGTTTTGGCACTTGACCATTGCACTTTTTTCCTTTTTTTTTTTTTTTTTTTTTTTTTTTTTTTTTTTTTAATACCATGTGCACACTGGAAGCGGTGGGGTTAATGGCTCAATGAACCTTCATTGCTCCATTTCTACGTATTTTAGGATTTAATTAAATTTTAGTTCGGAAGAATACTTGTGGTCTCATTCTACCTATTTCTAAGTGTCATACTAATGTCCCTTCAAATTTACAAACGTTTCACTTTTAGTCACTTCATCACAAAACCATCAAAAAATAGAAGGCATTTTACTTGTGAGGTGCACATAACACTTTTAATGAGGGTAATTTAATAAAATAAACAAAGAATTAATTTCAATTTTTGGCCCCCTCAGGGGCAAAATGAGATGGAGAGTACTCCCCTGAACCGAAATGGAAATTAATTATTAATTAGTTTTATTAAATAATCCTCATTAAAAGTGTGATGCCCACTTCACATGCATATATATATATATATATTCCATCATTTTTTAATGATTTTAGAATGGAATTACTAAAAGTGCAACGTTTATAATTCTCGGAGACTATTAGTGTATCACTTGAAAGTTTAAGAGGCTGGTGAAGTGAGACAACGAGTTTTTCTTAGAAGTCAAAACTAAATTTAACCCTATCTTTTATTTGTTTTTAATTTTAGTCCTTTCTATATGGCTGATTATTTAAATTGTTTTTTGAATTATTTAAATCATTTTTTTTCTTTTTCTTTTTCTTTTTTTTTCTATTCTAAAAAAAACGAAGTACTTAGGGCCCGTTCACTTCACTGATTTGAATTTGTAATTTGAGTTGAGATGTGATTTTATGTGAGAGCTTTTTACTGTAGTAAAAAAGTTAGATGTGACTGTTTCTGAGAACTTTTTACTGTAGCAAAACTCAAATTCTAAACTCGAATCGGTGAAGTGAACGAGGCCTTAAATTGAATATGTAAAAGAAAAGAGCAATTGAAATGTGAAAGAGGAATTTGCAAGGGGTGGTACGTAATTTTGCAATGTGAAATTCCAACCTGATCTCTCGTGTGTAAGAGGAATTTGCTTGCTATAAATATATAAATATATATATATATATTTGTCAGCCTGAAGATAAGAGTGACTACTATTAATAGAGGAATATCGAAACATATGTTAACCCACTAATAAAAACACAGGAGGCAGAAGGATTATTGAAATTTTACTTTTACAATGTGTGGTCAGATTCCAACTCCAAGAATATCTCAAGGCCGGAAATTTTATTCTTTTGATTTTGTGTGAATGTGATGTACCAAATTAGTTCCGCCTCCTTGAGTAGCAATATGCATTTGTTGTTACCTACTGAAAACAAATATTTAAAGGTCGGTCCCTCCAGTTGATTGTCTTATCTTTTGTTTGCTTTCTTCGAAGGATTAAAACACATTTTCCTCCTACTAGTCAGAAAATATATTATTGTTTTAAGAAAACAAAAAAGAAAAAGAAAAAAAAAAGAAAGAAAAACATGAATAGAAAAAGAAAGATATACAACACGTGGTGATATTGTGGAAGGCATTTGATATTTCTCTCTCAAACTAATGGTTGATTTTGATTAGCAAAAAAAACGGTTGATTTTGTTTAAGAACTCCCTCACAGCACGTTTTTAACTATGAAACTACTAGCCAAAAAGGACAGCGCCAACAAACACACTAACCAAAAGGGGCAGCTACAAGAAAATAACATCAACCATAATAGTAATAATAAAAAAGAGATATTTTCTCCTACGCTAACATATCAGTATACTAAATTTTCTAATCATTAGATTTATATAAAATTATATAAAAATTAAAAAATATACAGATTTAATGATTAGAAAAATTAGAAGCGTACCAGAGAATACCCTAAAAACACATAAAAGTATAAACGACTTTACCCTTAAAAAAACAAGAATAAACGACATTAGTTGAAAGCGCGTACAACTTAAAACACGAGAGTCGGAAAACAAAAAATACACCACCAAAACGACATGCACAGAAAACTACAATAAACTCAAGAAATAAGATCAAGTTGCAAACGACAACAACACTAACCGACAAGACAAGAATAGACGGCATCAATAGAGAACAATAACTCAAAAAACAACATGAAACTGAAAACCAGTTGTCAAAAAAAAAAAAAAAAAGGAAAATAAGCTTAAACAAGACATGAAACGGAAAACATAATGCATAGCAAAAACGACAATAAAATTAGAACCAACAACATAGAATGGGAAAACGACAGCGACCAAAAAGGAAGGCTACGAGAAACGAATCAGCAGTAGACGGGATGAATAGGAAAAACGACATGAGCAGAAAACTATAACAGCCTAAACTTCGAAAGCAACATTAGCAGAGAAACGACTAGCTTAGCAAACGATACGAACAGTAGAAACTACAGTACTTGTCAAGAAAAAGAATCAAACGACAGAAACCTTAAAAAACACAATAACGTTAGATAACGACGCACTTGAAACGACAGCCGAAGAAACAGCACTGTCCTGAAAAAGACAACATGAAATGGAACAGCGACCAAAATATCATAAACCATAAATAACTGTATGAAAAAAATACATAGAAAAGAAGATCCGGATAAAAAACGACAACAACCTCAGGAACGAAATTTAAAACGGGCTTTCATTTGGAAAAATGAGAATAAAAATCTCAAGAAAAAAAAAAAAGAACTGTAAGAATCTAGAACAATGAAAAAATTACACTTTTTTTCTCTTTTTTTTTTGTTTCTTTTTTGTTGCAGCCATTTGCCCATTGATGGAAAATACTTGAGCTTTCCCTTTTCTTCTTTCAACAAGTTCCAGCCTAAGTTTCAAGTTTTGAATCACTTAGGCCTCGTTCTGTTCAACAACTCAAATTGTTGATTTGGTTAATTGTGATTCTAATTGGTGTTTAGATACGCAAATAAATTATTATTTAAATTGAAAATAAAATCCGAATTGTATTTAGATAAAGTATTGAAAACTGTCATGATTAGAGTTTTTTAATAAATCTTAATAAATCCTCATTGTAAATGAGGTTAAAAAATATGTAATATAAATAATGACTTGTTCGTCTCTTCACTATGAACACATATAAAAAAAATTATCTCAATTGGAGTTAAAACAAAGAAGTTATAACATCTTTAAGCTTAAAGTTAAAAAGAGTGAAAAAAAAAACAATTATTTTTAAATTATTGTCAACAATCCGGATTGTAAATTTTAAGTGGGGTATGAATTTTAAAATTAACCATTTGAATCTTAGTTGATAGTTTAAACGGTCCCTTTTTATTTCTAAAACAAACACTAATTTAAACCTTTAAATACAATTTGAATTGAATTATTTGGTTTAAATAGTTGAACCAAACAGCGGCTTTATTTGTGGGAACAGAGCATATTAAGCAAAACCAAAACGATATAAACATCTTTGAGTTATACTAGTTCCTTTAGCAGTTAATAAAACAAAAAATCATTCAAATTTTCAAATGTGACATGGAAACAACCTCATGAGTCTTTTTTCCTAACATATTTAAATTCACAAGCAACCAACGAATAGATTAACTTTTTGTTTAAGGAGTGCATTTTATCACATAACGAAAAAACGAATTCGGTACATTAATGTTCCCATATACATAAGGGTGAAAAAAAGAAAAATTCCATTTCAAGAAGTCCCCCTAACTGCTCATTATTATCTATAAAACTAAAATGTTTAATGACACGCTTCAAGCAATTAATTTATATGTACAAAGAATAAATGCAAGCCATAAAAACCAATTGCCGGAACAAGTACAACAATTTGGGAACGTCACATGGGACTTGACCTACTAAAAAGTTCATTAGAACACATGAAAAAAAATTGTGTCGTTTCCGAACTTTCTCCCTGGGAGAACCTTTCAATTCAGGAGGCAACATGAACTGCAAGATTATGATTCATTCCGACACCTTTCATGCTCTTCCTTGCCACCCCGTTGACGTTTCTTTTGGCTCCGGATTTCGCCTTCCTATCAAGTGCTCTCTGCCCTCTTGAAATCTTGCTAGTCCCCGATACTTGACGGTTGAGCTTGTTAGCATCTCTCTCTCTTTCTTTCTTCTCACTCACGTAATCTTTTTTCGTTGTTTCTGAGGTTTTTGGCGTTGGAGATGTTGCAGTGTCTTCAGTTTGCTCGGTTGTGGTCACAGAATCGTTGGTTGTTTGAGCTTGGTCATGTCCTGCCTTTGAATCTGATGAAATTAATTCTGAAGAAGCTGCACTTCTTGAACTTGTTGAGTTGCTTCTTGCTTTGCTGCTTTTGCTCTTATCAGATCCACCGTGAAAAAAAGAAAATATAGTTGATTGCAAGTTTTCCCTCAGATTATTATTTAAGTTTCCAAAACATTAGCATCTAATATGAACCGAAATAACAAAGGAGTTATATTCAAAAGGAATATGATAAGAGATAACACAACGGTCAAGAAATTGAGTCCTACTACGACTATAATTAACTGCCGTATCGGGGGTCCTTATTTTGCATTCCACATTCTTGACAGTTCTTCATTTCATTCAATTCTATCGATTTCTCCTTCCAATGATATATATATATATATATATATATATATATATTATTTTTTATAACTGACTTGAGCTTGGAAGTGCTAATAATTGTTTTGTTTGTTTTGCACGTCTGTCCTCAAATATCACGAAATCATAGACTTCGTACAAATTCAATTATAGATTTTAGCCTCTACAAGAGTAAAGAAGAAATGATATTATAAAACCTCAATGCTATCATTCAAGAACTACTTAAAACCATATAAGGCTTTGAACAGAGTCTTTAAACCACTCCAACAAAGATTTCAATGACTTCTACAGTGTGACATTACACACACACACACAACGGTAATTTTAAGTTTATAGGTCAAATTCATGAAAATTCTATATACCTTGTTTTCATTAACATGATAGAAAGATGGCATTGGTGTTGCTTTGAAATTGAGGCTTTTCCGAAGTTGTCTGATCTCAGCTTCTGTCTTTTTCTGCAGCCACAGATGTTTAACTCGCTGAATTTATAACATGAATTTCAAGATCTAGTAATCTAGCAGAACCACTTTAATTGCATAAAAAAATAAGCACAAAATTCACACAAATTTTTTTCATCTAAAAATAACTGTATTCATTTAAGTTTTCTGCATAATGTACCAAAGCATCAAATAATTTGCAATACAAAATAATATAATAAAATAAGATAAGATAAAAACCCTTTGAATTTGACAGTTCCTTATATACCTGTGTTTTTGCTTGGATCTTGTTCATCTCAGCTTCCTTAGCGTGCATTTTCTCCTCCAACTTCAAGTAGAACTGGCAGACAAATGAATCAAAAGTACAATGTAGTAAACAATCCAAGTCTGGCAACAACTATAAAGCAAACTTAATTGAAATACAAAGAAGAAAAATTGAAGGAAATTAATCAGCATGTTGGCTGACCTCTTTCCGTCTTTCTGCTCGCTCATCACTTCTAAAATTGAATCCTATTGACCTTGTATCAGCCTTGGTTGAATTTCCTTTATGAAGCCTATACAAAGAAATTGGTATTAGATTCAAAGGTCTACGGAGATTGAAATGTTGAAAGAGTTTGTTTTGGATTCACTATTAAACCTGTTAGGCATTCGGCGTAATCTGGCTTGATCTTTTGATGAAGAAAGCGGAGGAGACTCACCAACTTTTCTTTCCCTTGATTCATTTTCACGCCTGTGGCGATAAGAAAATAACCCTATTTGACCTTTCTATTTACAACTAAAAACAATATTTCACTTAAAAAAACAAGTACCTTTTATCTTCATGAACTAACTTTGTCTTCTGACCTCTAGAATCCTGTATGAAAACCACCCAAAAAAAAGAGTGAAAAATGGTAAAGAAGAAACAGGATCACAAGATTGCAGAATGCCAAAGATAAAAAGTTTGTCTTTACCTCGGATGCTGAAGTCTTGTTTATAGAACTTGTAGTTTGAATATTTGGATTTGATGGTTGATTTGCTTTATTTGTTCTTCCCACAAACTCTCTCTTCCTTCTAACAGGTTTCCTTAAAGGATCTTTAGATACATCACCAGAAATGTCTCTCTGGACTGGAGAAATATTGTTCCGGGAAATGACTCTGGACTTTGAATGTTTTGATTCTATTGCAGGCTTTAACTGCTCATAAAAATGCATATTAAGGGTTAGAAAAGTGTAAGAAACGATGTTTCTTATGTAGCAAGTAAAAAGTACTACTAAAGTATATATTTTGGGAAAACAAACCTTCTGGTAAGATGTTTGCTGTGTTTCAAAACTAGTTTCCTCAACTTTCCCAGCCTTTTCAGTCTTGGGAAACTCAACTGAACAAGATGATTCGTCATCATCATGATTTTCTGCATTGAAATTTTGATTCTGATCAGCTCTTGTCTGTGATTCATCACTAACCGAAAAACAATTGCCACAGCTGATTTCAGTTTGATGTGATTCAAAATTAGCACTTTGAACAACACCATCAAGCAAGACATCAGAATCACTCATTGCAGGCTCCTTCAGAGGATTCGAAAAGGATACCCCGGAATCTTCTCTTTCGCATTCTTTCACTTCACACCCTGTATAATACTCTTGATCCCCATGATCTTCTCTTTCACATTCCGTCATTTCATAATCTCCATGGTACTCTTTATCCTCTCTTTCATGTTCTGTCGCCTTGTATTCTCCATGATAGTCATATGAGCCTTCAGGGCTCTCGTAGAAATGAGGATGGTGGAGACCTTCATTTGCATTCTGATCAAATTCTTCTCTGCAATCGCTTCTGTCTGAGATACCATTACAACTAACTTGATATTCTGTCCCACCATAGTACTCGAATGAGTCCGGTCTCCTAAGACCTTTCTTCTTGAAGTGAGCCTCAAAGTAAGCTTTTTTTTCAATGACTGAGCCTGGTTTTGAGCATTTCTCAACCTCCTCTAGATATTTATTGTGAGAGAAAGATGACCTCCTTTCCCAAGATAAGGACTCGGTTTCGAATCTTCCGAATGATACAGAGCCGGAGTGTAAAGAATCTGCCTGCAAAATTAGCAAGAAAAAAAAAAAAAAAAAGAGGGAAATGATTTATAAGTATCCATTTGATTCAATTTAGCATTTTCATTTAATATGAAGCCAAAGAAGGGAAGCTCAACAATGTGATCACAAATCAGTCAAATATGGTGCAATGGACATCAGTATTACCAAAAGGTTTTTGTTATCTAAGAATTAACAATTCTGACAGTGTAGATATGGAAGGTTAATTCCTTTTAAAAATAAAAAATAAAGTTCCATAATCATCCTATGAATCAAATTGCAAGTTAAGTGTCCTAGTAAAACTAGATCAGTTAGATCCTAATATATAATTGGTTCTCAGATCCCATAATTACAGATAAATCAAATAATTAAAAAAGAAAAAAAAATTCAAGAAGTTGCATAGCACCTATTGCAAATATCGACCATTACTCTTCACTGCTTGGAAATACACTTTCCAATTGAATTCCTTATAACAGCAAAAGAAAGATCAAGTTGAGACAAGAAGTATTTTTTTTTTATTCTCTTTTAGTTGAATTCATAATTAAATCAAGGGTAAAATTGCACCACTTGTCTTTTAAAATCTCTATTCAACTATTTTTCAATATATATATATATATATATATATCAATTCAACTAATGAAATTTTCACAATGAACCAATTAGGAAAACAATAAGCAATTATAAAGATTGAGATGCAGAATAAAAGACAGGCTTACCTGAAGACTATTGCCAAAGGTTTCTTCATCAATCTCCCCAGCCATTGCCATTATCACTATCAATCAAAATCACAAACTTCAATGTTACAATAAATAAGAACTCTAGTGTAATTAACACAAAATCCACCCACAATAAAAAGACAAATGTATATTAATTACTTGCAAGAAGAAATGGGAGTACCTCAAAAGAATCAAATTTCACAGGAACATATATAAAGAACACAAAGTACAGCCCAACTGATATATATATATATATATATATATATTGAGAAGATGTGAACAGTTTGTGGATATAAAGAAAGAAAGAAAAAGGTTTTATTAAGAGAAGTCAGGAATCTGAAGAAGCAAAAGAAACCGTCTTTGCTTCCCCAGATCTTGCAGTTTTGGCTGACCAACAAAGTCTCTTTAGAGAGAGAGAGAGAGAGAGAGAGAAGTGAGTGGGTTACTTAAGTGTACTCTCAAATCTAAAACCAAAGGCTTTAAAAGGATTTTCATTTTTCATTTTTTTTTATCAAGTTTCATCATGTGCATTGCCGGTTGTCTTTTTGTCCTCTCCCTCCTCCCTTCTTCTCTTGCATCACGCCGTTATGTACATCATTGGTTTACATTTTACAAGGTGGCTTTCCCCTAGGAATAATAGTATTTACATATTAGTTCAGATCCCACGGACTCTGCCATAAAATATTCCTCCTCATATTAAATTAAAATCATATATTAAAAAAAATTTATCTGGTAGTCCGCTTTATCGGTATTCTCAATTTTTAATAATTACATCCGATTAAAATCACTTCAGATTAAAAAATTATACATAACGACATATTATGATACATATATAATAGTTAAAAAATAAAAGATTATCGGTAGTCTATTTTTATTAGAATTACTAAAGAAAGTCTCTAAAAGAAATTGAATAATGTACAAATCGGAGTTTAAAATCACTGTTATTTACAAAATGTCTTCCCTGTACCATTTCACTTCCTATCTTTAATACAATATTTCCAAAACTAATTGCGTATTGTCCAGCAATGAATCATGAACTTTACGTTACAAGTAAAAATATTGTTATCAGTATAGTATAACTGCAACCATTTGATCATATTCAGTGGTAAAAAAATTCTTAAAACGGTATATGGAATCGTGTTAGAAATGAATATTGTTAGATCTGTGAGAAGTTACAATTGTGTAAAAAATGAAAACTACATGAAAGTCATCAAGTTATCTATTAAATTTGGGAACTTCTACGATGGAAATGTTTACAAATAAAAAATTACAACAAATGAAAAAAAGTATTTAAATTCAACGAAATTTTGTAAAGATTTAACAGTTGAAAAGTGTGCAATATCGGTGAGATATTTCTTTGAAACAATTCTATCAAAAAATTTTCTACTGAATTTTGACTATTGTAACAATCGGTGCAATTAATTATACCATAATCAATATCTTACTTAATCATTCACACGTCATAAACAACTAATAGAGATATTAATTAACTGTTGTATCATCCAGCTTCGTTACTAACTATATTTTTCTTAATGGAAGTTTTATAATAGAACCAGATTTATCAAACTCAATCAATTTGACGCGTGTAACGGAACCGTTTGAAAGTGAACGGCGGATGAAAATGGCTTAGGGACGTCAACATCTGGAATTGTTGACTTTTTTGAGTTTACTACAAGAACTGATCCCCTACGAAAAGGTCTACCTGCAACAGATATCCTTGCGTACGTGTGAAGTTGGAACAACGGCTTTTAAAGACAGTTCCGTACTTGGATCTGGGGAAAAGCAAAGAGATCACCGGACCCCTACTATTACAATTTTGATTGATGAATTTTTTTTTTCTTTTTTTTCCTATTGATGTGACCCAAAACTTTTGCAACAATCATTGGGTTATGGATTAAGCTAAGTTTCTGATGGAAGAACTGGAGCCGTCAGATTGGAGTCTTTGGTGATGATAATGATCCAAAAGGCCGTAACGATTGAGAGAGATCTAAGAGCACGTGAATGGGCCGTGGATGTTGGGCCCTTACCCGACATTTTGGATGGTACGTGCCCCCACGGACCTGTAAAACCCTGTGAATGTCAGTCCGTTTAGTGGATTGTTAACTCGACTTTCTATCGCGGCCGTAAATGTGAGAAGATGGGTCCACGATCCAGTGGCCCAATTGAATTTTTTTCCTTTTTTGCTGAAAATAGAAGAAAATATTTTGACGTGTTCACACATTTGGAGTTTGGAATAATAGACGTTGCTTTATTTCAAACTTTTATTGTGCGCTTTTTTTTTTTCTTTAATTTCTTTTTTCATGGTTATGTTCCAAATATTACGAGGTTGTCGCCCAACGTGCGAATTAAAGGTCCGTTTAGTTCGCTGATTTCAGTTTTTAATTTGAGTTGAAATGTGACTTTATGTGATAGCTTTTTACTGTAATAAAAAAGTTAAATTTAACAGATTTTGAGAGCTTTTTACTGTAACAAAACTCGAATTTTAAATTCAAATCGGTGAAATGAACATGACCTAAGAGATTAAAAATGTATAATAAATGATTTTTGACTTCTTTTAAAGTAAGTAAATCAAAAAATAAATTTGTTATTCCAAATTGAGGCTAACCCCATCTCAATTTCTTCGTTGTCATTACCACCTCAAGCCTTATATCTGATCACCGAGAGAAGAGGTCAACAAGGCTCAACCAATTACTAAACGTGTGCCTTCACTTCTATTTGTAAAGCCTCGCCGTTACGAGCATCGTTACTGACGAAAGCAACAATGTCGAAAGAAACAACCCTAAAAGTTTGAATATTTGAATATTTTCTTACTTGAAGAGTAGTAGGAAGGGGAATTTTAAAAAATAATAAATAAATAAATAAATTCGTACTTGAAAAAGACATTTCGTTCCAACCCTAAAAGTTTGAATATTTTCTTCTGTTAAAAAAAAAAAAAAATCAACCCACCAAACCGACCATGTCTATTTTTTGCCTATAGAAAAATAATCACAGAGGAAAAAAAAAAGATGTAAAATGTTGCATTTATTAGCTTTTAGGGACCGTTTCCGGCAGACCGTCCTACCGGTAGAATTAGTTTTCTGACCGTTAAATCTGGTTAAAATAAAATAAGATTAAAAAAGTACGTAGAATATACAATTTTTTATGCAGATTTACCGGCTTAAAACGACAGAAAAAAATTAGACTACCGATAATTTTATTTTTCTGAACCTACGGGAGAAACTCCCTATCTTTTATTGAGCAAACTATTTATTCTAGGAAATTTTAACATACGTTTAGGTAAAAACTAAATGAGTTCAAAACTTCTCTTTTCCACCGAAAATTGGGACAGCCCTTCTGAATTAGTAGTATATATTTCAAAACTATTGCTATAATATAATATTGAATGAAGTAAGTTGTGCATCAATCAATGATTTAGCTACAGAAGTAAGTTGTGGATGTAGTTTTAAGTGGAAGTACTATTTCATAATAATGGACGTCAATCAATGATTTATTTTTTGATAAAAGGGGTTTCCAACCAGCCAAAATTGATAAAACTTGCTACCTAATAACCAACGTTGCTTCTCCACTAGATATCAGATTAGTACTTTAGAGATCATTAATTAATAATTAAATTTTTTAGGTCCTGACACCATGGATATCGTATAAATAAATTCCTATATACTCAACAAAATACCGTTTGTATACTCAACCAAGAAGGAGAGGAGGATTGAAGAAGACAGTGACAAAGAATGAGACCCTATCCATCTGGCAACACATATTATAAACAACTATCCCGGTTTTGAGAGATTGGCTATTAATCTAGAAGAACAAAACAAAGAGGGTGGTGGGGCTAGCTTCATGTAGTACCTGTGAAAATAGCATTTCTATGCATTCATTTATTCATGTATCACCACTACAAGAATAATGATTTTAAGAGACCAAACTTTTTGATACCAAAAAATTTTTGGTAGTAGAAAATACACTTTTTGCTACCGAACTTTGGTAGCTAAAAGTATCAAGGATTTTGTTACCAAATTTGGTAGCAAAAACAACACAATCCGCTACCAAATATAATTTGGTAACAAATAACATGGCGGTAAATGAAATTTGGTTCCCGCCAATAGCTTTTTGCTATCAAAATAATATTTGGTAACAAAAGCATAAGATTTTACTACCAAAAATTTGGTAGCAAAATATGACTTTTTTGCTACCAAACATGTTTTGGTAACAAAAGGTTGGCGGGAAGCAAAATTTTTTCCCGCCCGAGGTATTTGCTACCGAATTATTTTTAGTAGCAAAACATATAACATTTGCTACCGAGAATTGGAAGCAAAATATAACTATTTGCCACCAAAATTTGGTAGTGAAAAATCAAGTTTTTGCTACCAAAAAACATAATTTTTTACCACCAAATTTTGGTAGCAGAAAACATAATTTTGCTATCAAATTCTTATTTTGGTGACAAAAATGCGTTTTTTGCTACCAAAAGTTGTGTTTGGTAGCAAATCATATAAAAACATTAATATTTATATTTTGTGCTTGTATTGCTTTTTTTTTTTTTTCAATTTTCTATGAATATGTCATATATTAAGTTTTAATAGTCATCCTAGTATATTTTGTATAATAATTATTTAATAATTTAGTTATTTTGTGTAGGTGTAATAAGAGACATGTTCATATGTACACATATGTGATCTTGTGAATTAAATATATGTTCCACATAGAGTAGTATATAATCTCGCTATTTGATTGATTTTTAACTTTGAATAATGTATTTCAATTTCAAAACTATATTTTTTGTTATAATGTTATTAGAACAATGATTCTTAAATAATTTTTGACATTAAAATGTTATTTTTTTTAATGTTTATACGTATTTCTGGTACCAAATTCATATTTGGTAGTAAAATTATGCTTTCAGCTAACAAAATAATGTTTGGTAACAAAAAACATAAGTTTCTGGTACTAAATTTTGGTAGCAGAAAACATGATTCTGCTACCAAATTCTTATTTTGGTGACAAAAAGACGTTTTTTGCTACCAAAAGTTGTGTTTGGTAGCAAATCATATAAAAACTTTAAAACTTACATTTTGTGCATGTATTTTTTTTTTTTTTCATAAATATGTCATATATTAAGTTTTAACAATCATCCTAATATATTTTGTATAACAATTATTTGATAATTTAATTATTTTGTGTAGGTGTAGCAAGAGACATGTTCATATTTATAAATTGTGATATTGTTAATTAAGTATATGTTCCACATAGAAGAATATATAAGCTTACAATTTAATTACTTTTTAACATGGAATAATATATTTCAATTTCAAAACTATATTTTTTGTTATAATATTACTAGAATAATGAGTATAAAATAATATTTATCATCAAAAAGTGTTTTTTTTAATTTTTTAATATATTTCTTTTTGCGACCAAATTAAATTTTAGTAGCAAAAAACATGTTTTTCGCTACCAAAATAATGTTTAATAACAAAAAATATAATTTTTTAATACTAAATTTTGATAGTAGAAAATATGATTATGCTACCAAATTCATAGAAAATAATAGAAAATTCATATTTTCAAAACGCAGCCACACGCACCCAGCAGCCAAACACCCTAACCTAGCTAACCCACCCTCACTTACACCCATCGCCTACACCCATTGCCTTTCTTTTCTTCGCCTCCTTCCCCTAAATTTTTGAAATCCCCTTCTTCCCCTAAAATTTTCAGAAACGCGTCACAGACTCCGATTCTCTTCTTCCATTTTCAGAAATTCCTCCGCCCTTCTTCCTCTCTTTCAAGCCGCTGATTGCCGGCGTCACAGACTCCGATTCTCGTCGATTGTCGCTGTCGCTGTCGCTGTCGCCGCCGCCGATTCTCGTCGTTCCGGTCAGTTCTCTCTCTCTCTCTTTCACTCTCTCATCGTGGAAATGTTTTTAGTTTTATTGTTGATATCAACTTTCTCTCTCGCATTGGAATGTTCTTGAAATGCTTCACGTATGCCCCTTTCATTTTCCGTTTTGGTTTTTGCACGCCTGCATAATGGCTTTCTTGGATTATTTGGGCTAACATTAACGAGAGTAGACTTCCTTAGATTGTGGTCCAAATCGTTCTACTTCAAAAAAAAAGCAAAAAAAAAAAAGAAAAATTAGAAGAAGTTGTAATGAGGAAGGTGCCAATGCTTCACGTATATGCCCCTTTCATTTTATAAATCTTTTAATCATTTCGATATTCATCGCCGTTTTGTGATCTGGTGCCTTTTCTTTTTAAGGGGAAATCTATGTATGTTTTCACTTCATGCCACTCCATCATCTTTAGGCGTTGAACAAAAGAAGTCCTTTGAGATCTGTTGCCGTTTTCACTTCTTGCTATTTGATTCTTTAGGCGTTTTCTCTATACACTGTCGTTTAATGTTTGTTTTCTTTTTATCCTTTTATTTTTCTTTGTTTTTGCACTGTTTAGTACTCCATACTCATGATAAATCAGATAAAAAATAAAATAAAATAAAATAAAAAAACCTCTTGCCTTTTTCTTCTATATGAGGAGAAGCTTTCAAGGTTTGCCAGCCCATGAAATGCTCAACTTTGCCTTTTATATATACAAAGTCGTATACATACACTTCGATCCCATAACCGTTATTTTCTCTCTGATGAATCCTTTTATGCTGCTGAGTGTCCACTCCGGAAGTAAAAGGAAACAAAAAAATCATGATATGGCTAATTAGCAAACACATGTAATTTTTGGCCAGGACAACTTTCGTTTTAGGGTAATTAGGCTAATTAGAAAACTTTCGTTTTAGGCCAGGAAACCCATTACATTGTCAAAACTAATTCCGCATGTAATTTCTATGAATCCGCAAAGTTCAATCAGTTTGGTATGATTATTTGATTCTAATCATATTTCATTGATCATACTCGTAGATCTACTACCATGTCCGATATGGATAAGAGTTGGATTTATGTGACGAATCTCCGTCATATATGAGTGGAGTGAACAAGCACGTAATCACCTAGATGCGGATGGAAAATGTCGTTGTCTTTGCAAAAAATGTTTGAATTGTTTTTTCCATCATATAGATATTGTTGCGCGTCATATTTTTGTTAGAGGTTTTAACTTAAATTATATAAACTGGACTAATCATGTACAATTTAGGGACTCTGTGCTCCGAGTTTACGGGGAGCATGCGGGCCGATTTGCGAGCAAAATCGGCTCTATAGTTCGCCACCACGCTCCATTAAAGTATAGTGGTTGGGGTAAGATTCCTGACAACGAACATAATGAATGCAGAAGACGATTGAAGGTTGTTGGAAATCTCTCCAACACCAGTTTCAATTTCCGAAACAAACCAAAAACGAAAACGAAGAAGAAACACCAAGATTTGGTATCGAGGTTCGGTACAAAATTTATACCTACGTCCCCGCGAACTTCCCAGAAGAAAGTTCGATTTGCACTATCAAAATGATGATCAATTACAAGAGTTTACACCAAGAACAATCTCTCAGAAAAAAATACAACCTTACCCAGAGAAAACTACAAGAAATTTTCCCGAGAAAATTTTGCCTCTTCTCTCTTTTCTTTTCTTGCTTTTAAACCCCTTTCTCTCTCTTAGGCTTTTTCTATTACAGAATGCTCTCACTCTCAATCTCACAAATCCAGAAAGAAAAACTGATCTTCGTTTTTCTTCTTTGATCTCCCTTAGCCAAGAATTATTCCCTTTTCTGTTTTACTACCTTGGAATATATCTCAAGGCTATAGAGAGTGTCGGTGGTGGTCTTAGTCAACCCTTCCAGCATCTTCTTCTCAGCCACGTCAGCATCTCCTTTCATTTACTGAAACGCTGCCGTTTTGCTTGTACACAAATCTGCATTCTTTCCAGCCTTATATAATGACTTGTAATTGAATACTCAGTTATATGGGAATTGACTCAACAATCTCCACCTCAGTTCCCATATAATGAAGTTAGTGCAAATCTAACCTTATTCTTGAGAGTTCGCGGGGACGTAGGTATAAATTTTGTACCGAACCTCGATACCAAATCTTGGTGTTTCTTCTTCGTTTTTGTTTTTGGTTTGTTTCGGAAATTGAAACTGGTGTTGGAGAGATTTCCAACAAAGGTAAAATTTTCTATTGTAACTTATTCTTTATAATGATTGCACTTATGTAAAAACAAATTTAGCAACTTTTTTTTCTTCAGGATTTATTTGATTTAGATTTTGAGGCGCATCCACAATTGAAAGACATTGTACTTTAAAGGTTATCGATATCAGTGCCACCAAAAATATCAGGCCATTATTGAGCAAGGAAAAGATCCATTGCAACATTTACCGAATCAATACATTAAATTAGATGATTGGGAGTGCATGTGTACCAATTGCTTTGGTGATGATCAATGGCAGGTAAAATGAACAACTTAACTGTATTATGAGACGTTTGTTTGAGAATGTGGTTTTGGATATGCAAATTGAACCAACATGTGTGGTTTTGGATTTTCTTGGTTAATTGAAATTGTAGGGGAGATGATGTCGAAATTTCTATTATATTTTAATGCATTTAAATGTTTCTTTTTTCATTTATATAGAAAAAAGCACAGGTTGTTGCGGAAAATCATTCCAAAAAGTCAGCAGGTTATTTGGGTGGCTCAAGATCTATAGTTCAACATTTGGAGGAAGTCCATGTAATTAACTTTCACTCACTTAAGTATATTACCACTTGAAACCATAATTTCTTTTTTTCTTTTTAACTAACTAACAAATAATGATTTTTATGTAGAACACGCATTCAAGTTCCGACTCAAATGCTTTGGGAGGGTATTTTGAGGTCTTCAAGAACACTCATTGGAGCGAATCACGGGGATGGACAACTAAGAGAGCAAATGAAGATTATGTAAGAATTACTAAACATTTTATCATTTCGTTTGATTTTGTATTTTTTTACTCTAACTTGAAAGTTTATAACACTTCGCCTAATGCAGGAACAAATGATCAAGATCCGCGATGCTCGTTTAAGTGAAGTACTAGAGGGGTCAGAACTTGACTCGGATGCAGAGGAAGAAATTTACTCTCAAGTTTTGTCAAGTGAGAGGTATAAAAAATATGGTTTCAAGCGTGACATAGGTCCTGTACTAAGAAAAGCGCCACAAGGTCGCAAATCTAGAGGGTTAGGATATGAAAAGTTTGAAAATGAAGTTTAAGAAAATAAACGTCGTATGTCGGATATGGAAATTTTAATGAAGCAACACATGAGCTTATTCCAAAGCTACTTCAATAGATTAATCCACCGTCCGATCATCCTGGACCTTCTGTCCCAAGAATAGAAGATCCTCCGCCATCACCACCGCCGGCCTCAATATTAAGATTTTACTAATACAATATTTGCATAAATGTTTGGGTTTGTTTAAGTATGACTATTTTAGTATTTTGGTTGGATTCTAGTATTGAAATATTTAGAGATTTTTAAATTAATATTTGATATTTTATTTATATATGTTTTTTCAAAAAATACAGGTATATAAATCTGTCTCAGTTTTGGTGATTAAAAAGCTCACATTTTTTGCTACCAAATATATTTTGCTACTAAAATTTTGGTAGAAGAAAGTTCATACTTTTTGCTACTAAAATTTTAGTAGTAGAAAGCTTACACTTTTTGCTACCAAATATATTTTGCTATCAAACTTTTGGTAGTAGAAAGCTAACACCTTTTGCTATCAAAAACCTTTTGCTATCAAAGTTTTGGTAGCAGAAAGCTCACACTTTTTGTTACTAAAAACTTTTTGCTACCGAAACTTTTGGTCCCTGAATGTCATACCTTTTGCTACCAAATACATTTTGTTACCAAAAAAATTTTTGGTAGCAAAAATTATTTGCTACCAAAAATTTGGTAACTAATACTTTTTGCTATTAAAATTTTTTGGTAACAAAAACATTTTGCTACCAAAAATAGGGCTTTTGGTTACCAAATTTTTGGTAACAAAAAAATGCAAATTCTTGTAGTACGTTCTTGAACTTTTTACAAAAATTATGTAATGATTATACTATTTTATACTATTAATCTCACGCGTGTCTCTTAAATTTTAGGGTTAATCTCATATTACCACCTAAACTTTAAAAATTCTTATTTGGCTCTTTGAATTTTTAATTAATCTTACTTAACCCCCTCTTGTTAAAAATTGTTATATATATATATGAGAGAATTAAATGTGATCATATAGTGATTTGGTCATTTTCCATTTGTTTTAACAAAAAATCTAACAAGAAAACCACATGATTGTACTATTCATTTTATCGCCGTATGTTTTTTTATAGAAATTTTATCAAAAAAGGTTAATTGATGAGACTAATTTAAAATTCGGGACAAAAGTGAGAGCTTTCAAAATTTAAGTAACAATGACCCTAAAGTTTGAATAACATAGCTGAAAATAATCCTAATTGTGACTACATATATCTCTTAAAAAAACTCTAATTTTAGTTGCAGATATAATCCAATGTTTTTTAAGGGAACATTTCATTTCAATTTTTACAAATTACTTACTTTAAAATAGTGGCAAATAAACACTAGTAATATGGAAATTCTACCCTGAACATTAATCAGATCTACCAGTAAAAATAAATGAAGCACACAGACGTATAGTACAAGTGTCGAGACCTAAAGGGGATAAGCTCGCTAGAACATACAAAATGGAGCGTAATTAAATCTCATTAAAAAGAACCAAAACTATAGATAAATAAACCAGCTGACCGTACACCGTCGATATTTAATTTAAATGGGTAGGGCACACAAACAAAATTAAAATATAAGGAGGTTATCTCTGTTATTAGAACACATAAAAATGTTAAAACAACACTATCTTTATTATAAACCAAAAAAAAAAAAAAAAAACAGAAAAAAAAAACGAAGATAACACCACAAATGAAATGATGATATTTGATGTCACCACCATCAAACCCTCTTCCATCTATGATAAACTGTAATTACAAAACAGTTATTGATGGTAGACATGTGATCGTTCTTCTATGCAAAATCTCTCATGTGATGGATGGAGGTCCATAGCAGTCCATGCGTTTTTGGTCTGCAACATGATCGACACGTGCGAGAGATCAGGAAGAAATAAAAGATAGAATTTTGAATAAACAAATAATGAATTAGTAAGCTGATACCATAATATCTTTCTGCATGGATTTGCCCTTCGAATCACACCCCTCTAAGGCAGACTTTAAAATTCTAGCTAATTAATGTAAAATGTAATTGACGTACTTCGTTGGAGAGAAAAGATAGAATCGAGAGAGAAAAATATAAGAGAGAGAATATAAAATGACAAATAGAAGATTTTTTTTCTTCTTTTTGTTTACTAAATGATTTCCTGAACAATTATATCATTCGCCAAACTCAAATATTAACTTTTATTTATCAATTAATATGATATGTGAGTTGTCATTTTTTTATTAGTAGATGTAATTTCTTATTCTTAAATACCTATTAATTTAAAACTGATAACTCACCTGTCACATCAGTTAGTACGCTGAAATTGAGATTTTAGTTAGTGTTGTAACATTATTCTTATCATTTTATACATTCATTTCTATTATTTAGTTTGAAAATGGGGTTAAATAAGTAAGCATATTGCGATAACTTTTTGGTTCTGATATCTATCCATTTGTCCAGGGATTAAAGCTGCCGAAATGATGCAATCCCCAGTCTCTGATTTTTAGTTTCTTTATATACAACCCATAGAGATGAATATGTGTTGGACTGTCCTTTCGAAAAGAGAGTGATACTTTCTTGTTTGGAATTAAAAAATAATAATAATAATCACACTGTCATCCAATAATAGCTGCTTGTTGTGAAAAATCGTAACGTAAGTATACGTTATCGCAATCAAATAATATAATAGTGAATAAGAATATCGTTCCACGAGAATTGTTGTTTACTAATTACCGAAATTGTATTAGCCTTAATTTTATTTGAATACTTGAAAAGAGAGTTTATAAAATTAAGTAAAGTAAAACTAAAACAATTAAATAAATTAAACAATGCTAAACAAAGGATGAAAATTCAATAGATTAAGATTCTAGGGTTTCCGATTTCACCAAATTAATCATGTTCAAATTCTTATAATTCAAGAAAATTAACATTCAATCCTATACTGACAACAATTTCTCTAAAGCAATTATTATTCTTTCTCAAGCAACAATAATATTAATCCAACAAGCAAAATCTACATCTCTGTCAAACTTCTAAACCTGTTGAAAATCATTAAGTGCAAGAAATTCAAAAGAACTGCACAAGCATCATAGATATCTCTATCATATGAACAACTCATGGTATTTCAATTAAGAGCTTATTCAATTATCACCTCTCAGTCTCAAATCAAATACAAAATCATATAATAGTTGGCCAAACAATCACAAGCATTAAGAATAAATTGAAGTACTCAGCATATATGGATTAAACATCAATTACTTAAAAATAAGATTGAGAATTCGAACATTCATAATCCGGCTACATCGTAGCCCTAGAAAAAGGAATTAGTTCATCTCTAAACAAAATAAATTCCTAAACAAAGTCTTAATCATTGGAAAGGAAAGAAAAGAACTAGTTTGGAGTTGAATTGAAGCGTCTCCGTCTCCGGATTTGAGCCGTTCTTCTTCTCCGTCCCAATTCTCCTTTTCTTCTCTTGAATACTCTCTCAAAAGCCAGCCGTCATTCCACAGTCTAAAAATCCTTTCTAATTGCCCTAGAATCATATATTTATATGTTTCGGAGCATTAGGGTCAAAACGGGTAAATTTTCTCGCGATTGGCCTTCAAAACGCGTAATTTCTCGCGTCGTAGCGCCGCGGTGCTGAGTTTCTAGCGCTGCGGCGCTGTTATGTAAAATCCCTGGGTGCTGCGGCGCTGTAATGGGCGCCTAAGCGCTGCCCATTCTGCCCCAATGCACTAATTCCGTCGGATTTCAGCGAATTTTGTCCAAAACCTTCCAAATCATAGACTTTCACCTAACCTTCAAACAAAGAACAAAAACACACATAAAAACTAACAAAAACCTCGAAAACTAACTAGATATTAAGTGTAAAACGATACTAAATGAGTGAGTAAAACTCACTCATCAAATACCCCCAAACTTAATATTTTGCTAGTCCTCGAGCAAAACAAAAATGAAAGAAAGAAAACTAAAAAGAAATGAAAACACGAATAATACGAAACATAAATAAATGAAACCTTGCTTGAGTATTGATCCGGCGTTGTTTCACAAAAAATGCCTCAGAAATCTCACATAAGTTACAGCTCAAGAAAGACTTTAAACTTTTTGAAAGTTTAGAATTTCAACTCGAATGCTAATCTCAACCCCACCTAAGACTCCTTATGTGTGTGTGTGAATTATCAATTACACATATCCAAATGCAACTTAGATGAGTTTATGCAATTAAGTGAATCAAGGTAGATCTACGATTTTTCGAACTCCATAGGCTTGCTTTTCTTATCACTCTCCACTAATGTTGGTCAATAAACCACCAAGGATCAATAGGACTTTATTAAGCTTGAATTGAATGGCTAGGGATTAAGGCAGGATAAACGGATATCAATGAGGCTCTGAATTCCCTAAACTCATCAATTACTCTAGGATCCTCTTGTAGAACTTCTAACTCAATATCCCAATACATCTGCCATTTGCCATCAACATTCTTGTCTCCACTTTTTATTTCTTTCTCTCTTTTTTTTTTCTCTGTCTTTTTTTTTTCTTTTTTTTTCTTTTTTTTTTGGAATAATATGATAAATACAGAATTTCATTGGAGACATCAAACAAATTATAGAAAATATCAATACACCTCCCAATTCCAAACACAACTCAACGTGCATCCTAGAATAATCAACAAGCTCAAGGGAAAGGGTGAATGATAGGATTTATTTAAAGGCTAAGCTAATAACGTGGATGACAAAGAAAAGTTTAATCAGGCTCAAAGAGGTGACTAGGGATATTATTACAATAGGGTAAGTTCAAATGGCTCAAACGATCCAAATATGGCCTATATCATTTCCTTAGTGATAAATTACATGAGATTTACCTCGAGTGATAATCAAACAAATTCTAGAGTCCAGTGAGATCTTAAGAAACACGAAATTCACATAAATTTTCTCTAAGTTCACAAAATGACCAAGTGTTCTTAGTTATGTGCTCAACAATGCAAGGATATCATAAGTAGAGCAAAACCAACAAACAAGTCAAGCACACAAACAATCAAATTATTCATTGTCTCCCAGAAGCCATAGTTAAGTTCAATCGTTGTCTCATCATTGGCCGGGGCGAAACAAGCCGAAACAACGCTCAAGTTTTTTTATTTTTTTTTTTTAATAAACTGAATAAAATAAGATAGTTAACTCCCCCAAACTTAAAATTGACATTGTCCTCAATGAAAAAGTAAAGCAAGAGAGTTTAGAGGACTTTCCTGAGTAGTTGTCAGTCAGTGTCTTCATTGGGTGCAAGAGGAGGTGCGGAAGTTGCAAGAATTTTTTATTTTATTTTATTGGAGGTAGCGCCAAGGCGCTGCATGGTAGCGCCAAAGCGCTACGTGCTCTGCCATTTTTTTCCCAAAATGCTCTCTTTTGAGCGCCAAAGCGCTACTGCTACTGCCAAATCTGTGCTTTCATTCATGCTAATGCCTGCTTGAGTTTCGTTTCAATTGCAAATCCTTAGAGCAACCCCAAAACTTGTTTATTAACTTTAATGTCTTCAGCCGGACGTTTGGAGAAGTGCTCGTCAAATAGCAGCTTTTGCCCACAATAAGTGTCATACAACACGATATATGGGTCTAGCTTATGGATGCCCTCAAGCTTGGCACGATTTGGAAGTATTCGGCTCATTGTTCCAACTCGGCTTCGCTTTGATTGATGATGAGCTTGGAAGGAGAACTTTTCTTTGGGCTCGATCATGTAGAGGACATAATATGGTGATGGTGGTGTCGGAGGAAAGTAAGGATCCGTTGTTGGTGTGTATGATAAAATCACAAATGAACTCAATTCAATGGCCTCGTATGCTTCTTCATCCTCCAACGGCTCTCGTACCTCTTCTTCATCTAGGAAATCCTCAAATAATCCCTCTAATTTCTCTTCACTCTCAACTTCGCTATCCATAGCCATGCATGCAATTTTGTCTTTATAAAACTCATGGTTTTGGATGGACACCTCGTTTCTTAGCAAATCGGTGTCAGCACTACGAGAGTCCATCTGTGCTAAGGCTTGAGCAAAAATAAATTTGAAGGGTTCTTGTTCTTCTTCTTAAGGCTCATCTTCCTTTAGAGGCTTGAATTCTTTTGACAACTTCTCTTGAATGTACCAATCTTGATAAAACTTCACCATATCGTCCATCATTTGGTAGGCTTCATCCTCGGGTCTTTCACAGAATGGGGTTGTATCATAGCCATCTTCCACCCAACTTTTGGTTGCTATGCTCAATCCTTTAATGAAGATTTGAAGTTGAAGCCACTTTGGAATACCATGTTGCGGAAACCCAGCCAATAGCTCATTATATCTCTCCCAAGCTTGGTGAGGCAGTTCAGTGTCGTGTTTAGCAAAAGTGATGATGGCTTGGCCCATCTCCAACTTAGTCATCATTTTTTTTTATTTTACCTGCAAAAGAAAGAAAAAACTCGGAAAACAAAATTAGAAGAAAAACACCAAAAAAAAAAAATCAAATTAATCCTAGAGCTAATTAGTACCCATATTAATCAACATTAAAATCCAAAGTAAAATTAGAGTTATTTGGTATCGATATTAGCAAAAAAAAAAATCCCCGGCGACGGCGCCAAAAACTTGTTGTGAAAAATCGTAACGCAAGTATACGCTATCGCAATCAAGTAATATAATAGTGAATAAGAATATCGTCCCACGAGGATTGTTGTTTACTAATTACCGAAATTGTATTAACCCT